GTGCCCCCCGTGCCCCCCACTCGCCTGCCTGGCTGCCCGCGCTGCCCTGCTCGTGGAAGAAGTCGTCCAGCAGCTCGTCGTCGGAGCGGGCGATGATGTGAACGTCCTCGTTGCCCACGAGCAGCCGCGCGCGGCCCCGGCTCTGCAGCGGGAGGCTGCTGCTCAACTGCAGGATGTCCGCGGCCGCCGAGGGGCCCAGGAGCCTGCAGGGGGGCACGGGGGGGGGGTCAGGGGGTGTTTGGGGGGGCTGTGGGACCCCCAGGGGGTGTTTGGGGACCCCCCCCCAGCCCCACAGCGCGAGGTTGCTGCTCGGCTGCAGGATGTCGAGGGGCCCAGGAGCCTGGGGAAGGGTCGGGGGGGTAAACGGGGGTGTTGGGGGGCTCAGGGGGGTGTCAGACCCCCGGCTGGGGCTGTGGGACCCCGGGGAGGGGCTGTGGCACAAGCCCAGGTAGTGGACGGCGATTCCCAGGGGGTCTGGCTGACCCCGAGGGGCTCTGGGTGACCCCAAATGAGCTCTGGGTGACCCCAAATGAGCTCTGGGTGACCCCGAGGGGCTCTGGGTGATCCCAAATGAGCTCTGGGTGACCCCGAGGGGCTCTGGCCACTCCCCGGAGCGGTCACTCACCGCTGCAGGATGAGGGGGGGGTTTGGCTGCCGTGCCCCCGGGTAGTGGACGTGGATGGTGTGGCCGGCGTTGGCCGTGAGCTGCCGCAGCGTCCGCTGGCTCCGGCCGAGCCCCTGGGCCAGGCGGGTGCCCCCCGGGCCGGCCCCCAGCCCCAGCCCCCCGTGCTCCGCGTGCCGCACCAGCAGCGGGTGGCTCGCAGGGATGTTCCCGGGGGACGGGGGGATGTCGGCTGCACGGGGAAACGGGGGGGTCAGGGGGGGAAAACACCCCAAAAACCGCGGGGAGGGGGAGAAAATCAACCCCCAAAACCAACCCCAAAAACCAACCCCAAAAATCAATCCCAAAAATCAACCCCAAAAACCAACCCTAAAAACCAACTCCAAAAATCAATCCCAAAATCAATCCCAAAAATCAACCCCAAAAACCAATCCCAAAACCAGCCCCAAAAACCAACCCCAAAAATCAACCCTAAAAACAAACCCCAAAAACCGCGGGGAGGAACTGGGGGGGAAACGCAGGCTGGGAACCCCAAAAACCGCGGGGAGGGGAGGAACTGGGAATCAGGGGGTGCCCCAATTCCTGACACCCCAAAATCCAGGGGGAGACAAAACCGGGGGGCTGGGGGGAGGGCGTGACCCCTTCCTGACCCCCCCGAGGTGACACACGGGGTGGGGTCACCCCATTTTTCTCCCCCCCCCATCCCGCAGGGAGCCCCCCCCGAGCGCCGGGGTCCTCCCCGGTGCTCCCAGTGCTCCCAGTGCCGTACTGGGGCTGGAGAACATGTTGTCGAACTCGATGATGAGGTCGTCGTCACGGTCGAAGCGCTCGAAGCGCACGAGGGGCGACGCGTTCATGTCGGGGTAATCCTCGTCCAGCTCCATCTCGGAGCCATCGTCATCATCCTCCTCCTCCTCGCCTTCCTCGCCCTCCTCATCGTCCTGCCGGGGCCGCCGGGGGTCAGCAGGCCCCAAATCGGGGGGGTTTGGGCCCAAAATAGGATCTCCTGACCCAGAACTGGGGCATTTCACCCCAAAAAACACCCCGACCCCAAAACAGGGGCATTTCACCCCAAAAAACACCCCGACCCCAAAACAGGGGCATTTCACCCCAAAAAACACCCCGACCCCAAAAAACACCCCGACCCCAAAACAGGCGCACGGCTACAGAGAGGACCCCGTGATTCAGGGGGGACCCCGATGTTTTGGGAGGCCCCAGCCCCACCTGATCATCCTCATCCTCCTCCTCCTCCTCCTCCTCCTCGTCCTGGCTGTCGTCCTCGTCCTCGTTGCTGCCGCTGCTGTCCTCCTCCTGCGTGTGCTCCTCCTCATCCTCGGGGTCCAGGATGTTCATGGAATCTGTGGGGAGGGGCACAGGGGGTCTGTAGGGCCCCGAGACCACCCGGGACCCCCCAAAATCCCCCAAAACCCGAGCCCACCTTCGCGGTTGGCCTGGAGCGTGGAGGCCTGGCTGAGGTTGGACGGGGCCTCGTCCATCAGGACGTCCTCCTGCGACTCGTCCTCGCCCGAGCGGCTCACTGCGGGCAGGGGGACACGGCCGGGGTCACCCCGATGACCTGGGGGTCACCCCGATGCCCTGGGGGTCACCCCAATGCCCTGGGGGTCACTCTGATGCTCTGGGGGTCCCCCCGATGCCCAGGGGTCCCCCCGATGCCCGGGGGTCCCTGCTGGCCCCCCACCGATGATGGTGCTGTTGCCGTCGGCGCCGTCCCGCTCCAGCAGCTCGTCGATGAGATCCTCCAGCTCGTTCTCCACCTGTGGGGGGACACAGGGGAGGTTTTGGGGCTGCTGTGGGGGGGATTTGGGGGTCTCGGGGAATTTGGGGAGGGGTCCCTGACCTGCATCTCCTGGGTGCTGAGCCCCTCGGGCTGCCCGGCCAGCACCACCGTGTCCCCCTCGGCCTCGCCGTCCATGTCCCCGTCGGCCGCCTCGGCCTGCGCCGCCTCCGCGTCCTCCTCGGGGGGCTCGGGGTCCCCGGGGTCCCCTGGGGGGCAGCGGGGTCAGGGGGGGTGGGGGACGGGGGTGGGTAAAGGGGGGATGATGGGGGGAGATGGGGGAAACTGGGGGGCACTGGGGGGCAGTGGGGTGACCCCATGGGCTATGGGGTGACCCTGGGGGTCCCAGGGGTGACCCGGGGGGCAGTGGGGTGGCCCCGAGGGTCCCAGGGGTGACCCCAGGGGCGGTACCTCCGTCGGGGGGTGCAGCCCCAGCCTCTCGAGCCCCCCCGGCCCCCTCGGCCTTGCTCTTGCTGGAGGAGCCCTTGGCCCCGAAGATGCCGCTGGGCTGGTTCACGATGCGCGACAGCGTCTCCAGCGGCTTCAGCGCCGCGTTCACCGTGTTGGCCATGTTGGGGCTGTGGGGGGACACAGCTGGCACCCCCAAACGCAGCAGGGACCCCCAGACCCGACAGGGACCCCCAGACCCATCAGAGACCTCAATCCCATCAGGAACCCCAAAAACCAGAGGGATCTCAAACCCACCAGGGCTCTCCAGCCCACCACGGACCTCCCAAGACCCCCCAAAACCCCTGGAGACCCCAACAAATCTCTGCCAACCCCCCTGAAGACCCCCCCAGACCCCTTGGAGACCCCCCAGACCCCTGACCTGGACAGGTCGAGGCTGTGGGGCACCCGGGCCAGGTCGTTGACCAGCCCCTTCTTGAGGAACAGGCGGATGATGTTGTTCATGCCGTTGTGAGGGGCCTTGGCCGCGCTGCTGTAGAAGCTCGAGGTGGACGGACACGACTCCATGATGGTGCTGATGATGCACATGACGGCCTGGAGCCTGCGGGGACACCTGTGTCACTTGTGGGGACACCTGTGCCACTTGTAGGGACACCTGTGCCACCCGTGGGGACACCTGTGCTACTTGTGGGGACACCTGTGCCACCCGTGGGGGCAATGGGGGAATGCTGCAGGGACACCTGTGTCACTTGTGGGGACAGGGGACACCTTGTGGGGACACCTGAATCACTGTGGGGGGACACTGGGGGGACGGGGACTGGTCGCTCCAGGAGGACACTGGTCACTCCAGGAGGAGACTGGTCACTCCAGGAGGACACTGGTCACTCCGGCTGCTACAGGGGACACCGGTCACATTGTGGGGGACAGAGGACGAGGGACACCGGTCACCTCGAGGCTGCCTCTGCAGTGACCCTCCGCTGTCCCCAGGCTGTCCCCGCTGTCCCCAGGCTGTCCCCGCTGTCCCCACCCTGTCCCCACACCTGGCGTGTTTCTCGGTGCTCTCGGCCATGGCCAGGGCGCGGCCGAGCGCGGCCTTGACCTCGTTGACCAGGGCCACCTGCGCGTCGGTGCCGCTGCCGGCCGCGGCCAGGCTGGCCAGGAAGAGCCGCGCCAGCGCCGGCGTGTCCTTGTCCTCGGCGTTCTGCTGGTGGGGCAGCAGGTGGTCCAGGACAAAGGCCAGCACGCTGCAGTCCTGGGGGGACACAGGGGTCACACGGGGGGACACGGGGGGACGAG